GTGTAGGGACAAGTGAGGACGCTTGGTGTCTTGCTGGCCCTGTGGCAGTACCATCGCTGTGCTGTGGGGAGATTTGGATTTGGTCCCTCAGTGCTTCAGGATCTCGCTTTGGGGACACTTGCTACTGGGCATCCCCAAGGATCTCGCATGAAAGGCATCTCGGTGGATGGCGGCAGTTGAACGTGTGGGTCTTCTGTCCCTACCAGGGCCGGGAAGTCCCTGGGAGCTGGGAATGCTGAGGGGCTGCCCTGGGGAACCGCGGATGCTTCCTCAGTGTGGGGTGCTGGGTTGTGGGGGTGCTGAATTGCGGTGGGGAATGCTTTAAACACACTGAGTCAGAAGAGTTGGTGCCTGGCGTTACCATAGAAATGGGATCAGCTGCCAAGGGTGGGGAGTCCTTGTCCTTTGGCTCCACTGCTGCGTGGTTCCAGCGTGAGCTCACGGTGCAAGGGAACCTGATTTCTTGCTCCTTGTCCCTTCGATATCAGAGGACGTCAGACAGCTCTCGCAGCCCTCACCGGAGAGCAGGGAATAATTTTGCTTGTGTCTCTGCTTGGCTGCAGGGGTCAGACCTTGTGTGTTTTCCATGCTGTCTTGGTGATCCGCTGCCCATGTATGTCTTGCTCTTTCATATTTCGGGAAACTTACTTCGTTTGCTTAGCAATAGCTCCCAGCCCTTTGGGAGCCCCAGAGAGGTGAAAACTGGTTGTAAACCGATGAGTAGCAGATAAGGGAGGACAGGAGGTAATAAATGTGGAGTGATCCCGAGGGAGGGGACAAACACTAAATCTCCGGTTCCCTGTACTCTCAAAATGCGTGCCCAAGCTTGGTCACGAGTGTTGCCCTGCGCATGGACGCGACGCCTTCCAGTGCCGAGTCTCCCACAGCTTTTGTCCTCTGTGCTCACATCTGAGTAACTGTTTCATCATCTTCTCTGGATAAATATACGCATTCAAGCTCTAGGGAGGGAAGGTGCAAAACATCATTGCCACCTGCCATTCTGCTAAAGGAAATAGCTTTACTGTGAATATAATCTTTCCTCACAAAGGTGTAGTGCCTCCTCGGATCATCTTTGAACCCTTTTCTCTCCTCATAATGCAAAACAAGCACAAGCCCATCAGAAAAGGAGTTACAGGGAGTCTTGCTGATGCAAGGTGGCGTTTTGTTTTGCTACAGTTCCTCTTGGCTTGCTGCCTCTTGGCTGCTGAATTACTGTCCGTCTGGTCTGTGTGAGCAATCCAGATCTACCTACTGTCCTTTCCAGTGTTCCCTTCCTGACTTCTAGGACACTGGCTTTAGAGGAGAAAAACTGCTTCCTCGGGGTTGTCCCTAAGAATTGGTACCCTTAGGAGGTGCTGTATCCTGTGCTAGCTCAGTCCTGGGTTTGACATATCTTCTGCTCCAGGTGAAAGTGAGAAATATTTGCGAGCGGCAGCAAACGCACTGAGCTGTCCGTTTCTTGGACCCTCTGAATTCCTTGGTCTCCTCAGTGTTATGGCACGCTTGGTGAAAAATACTGATTCTAGCAATATGGCTTTAAAGTAAAGAGGTGATTCCTTGCTGTTTGCTGTCATGCAGGAGAAAGGATTTGCTGGGTGATGCTGAAAGGAGTTGAGGGTTGTATGTGTATTGTTCTCCCTGTCTTCCTGGCTCAGCCTGCGAAATGCTGTTTTAAGAAGCTGTTCACTTCTCTGTTCAGATCCCAGCAGGCTGAAGCACCCACTTCAGTGTTGTTGAGAGCTCTGGCCCTCCATTATGGGGAGAAGCGGGGATGATTCCTGGGAAAGCTTCCAGCACTGGGCTAACTGTGGAAACAGTTGGGCTTTGTGCCAGCCCTTGGGAGGGAGGGGGAGCTCGGAGCTGGTACAGGGAGTGTGTCAGGCAGGGGCTGGCGTAGCCTGTCATCTTCCTCAGCGTCTTGCTCCTGTTTCAGGAGAGAAACTACCCTCTGCAGAGCTGGGGTCAAGCAGAGACCCGCCGAGAGGGTCGGTACAGGCCCCTGATGGCCTTGTGATAGCCATTGGCATGAACAAATCTGACATATGTCGGTGCTCCTGGCTGGAGGAGGAGGAATTCCTGCCTGTGTTAAGGGGGAGGGGAAGTATGATCTCTGAATAAGTAAAGATAAGGGAGGATTTTGGGAAAATCGGTGAGAAGAGGAAGAGTCTCTATGGGGAGGTAAACTTGTGATGTCTGTGTCTCACCTAGCAATCTCTGCAGTCCTCGTTCTAGACGCTGCAAAATAAACTGCGGTGTTTGGGGACCATGGCTACAGACCCACTCTCGGAGCTTCAGGACGACCTGAACTTGGATGATACCAACCAGGCCCTCGGCCAGCTCAAACTGGCCTCCCTAGATGATAAGAACTGGCCAGCAGATGAAGCCCCTGCTTTTCCCAAATCAGGTAAGTAGCCTGCTTGTTTGGGGTCTGGGTTTTGGCCAAAAAGGAATTGTTTGTCCTGCAGCATTGTGGTCATATCTACATCTACAGGGAGCCCCAGCTCCATTTGAAAGCTTTATAGACACATTAATCTTGCACCACACCCGAGTGAATTAGCCCTGCCGTTGAACAGCACTAAAAAGCTCATGTAAATACACTCTTCTCAGTCCTGTGGCTGACTGCCCTTTGGTGCTGACCATACAGACATGCTGTAAGTCCTTGAGTGTCCTCTGTTATGGTCTCTCGCAGGATAGTTTGGCCTTCCTGAGTGGAAGGGTCTTGAACTTCCATGTGGGAGGTGGGGCTGGAGATGTGAGGTGTTGTCCTGAAATCCTGTGCTATGGACTGCTGCCCAGAGTGGTCAGGGAAATCAGCTCAAGGGCATATAGGATGGCCATCCATCAAGGGATGAGGTTAAGATCCTCCTGCTCTAAAAAGCCATGATGGTACCCTTGGCACTGGGGTTTTGGTCTCTGTGAATGTTTGTGAGAAACCCGAACAGTCGTTTCTGAGAGGGTGTACGATATGAGGGACATATGTGGACCTCAGAGGATTGACAGGTCTCTTCTGAAGTCATTGCTGCTCTTGTCCGCTCAGAATTTCAAAGGTGGGTTTCCAAGGCGAACAGGTGCATACATTAGTCCCTTGCATGTTGAAGAGCCATTTTTTCTCATCCCTATATCTATCATAGCCCTTGCGATGGTGCTCCAGATCCCTTCTTCTAATTGCTTGTTCCTTGTGTTTTGTGCAGAGGACTCCAAAGGCTCCCCTGAGCCCGTCACTCACCTGCAGTGGGATGATCCCTACTATGATATCGCCAGGCATCACATTGTGGAAGTAGCAGGTAGTGGTCTTTCTGGTTTCTCCTTTGATGTCTTTGCAGCTGGGCTGAGGAAGGGTCTTTCTAATAGGGTTGTGGGGGGCATCCGCTACATGCCAGGCCCAAGTGGCAATGACGGCTGGCATCGTAAAGAGAAGGAGCACGAAACTCCTTGAATGTTAAACATGCATTCCTTCTTGGCTCTTACTGTCTTGATTATATTATTAGTGGGACTTGGTTGCTTTTGCTGAATTGTTTTAAATGTGGCCCATGACTATATCCTGAGCACAAGATGTGTTTTTTGTATGATAATGCCACAGAAATTACCTAGTTACACAGTATGGCTGCAAGGTCCTCAGCTGACTGAGCAGTCCACAGTAGGTCTGGCAGCTCTTACATCTGAATGGCCAGAGCTCGCCATCCTGTCCAGAAACAGCATTTACAGAAATCTGAAATAGGGCGAGCAGGCCTGTGTCCCACTGCGAGGAAAGATCTGATCATTCAGGGTCACAAGCATTCGGATTTTCTCTGTGTGGTTGTCTTATCCATATTATTTTAGTTCCACTAGCGTCTGGCGATTTACTGCTGGGACCTCCATAAGAAAGAGTTTTGGGGGTATTTTTTAGGTTGCTGTGGTAAGCCTGAGGGAAGGGTAATCCCAGATTGTCTTGTGTTGCTTGTTAAAAAAAAAAAGCACCTCTTCAACCTGTTGTGACTTGATTCACACTTCCTCCTTAATTATCGGTAGCCACCTCCTGCCCCTCCTGTTGCCATTTCCCTGTACCTTGGTCCCTGCCCCACATGTGACTTTGCAGCGAAGCAGAGGGACAAACTGGACTCTTCCCGATTCAGGGTTGTTCTGCAGCAGGGTTTGACCACAGAGGGAAGATTCTCAGGCATTTATCTCGGTAAGAGTTGTCCTGACATCATTCTTTTCTGGGCTGTCTTCTAGAATGACTGACTTTCTCCTTGAAACCTCTGATGTTAAACCTTTTGGGGAACAAAATGATAATGGCAAACTCAAAACTGTGTTATCCTTTGTCTCCTGTGTGCCTCTGGCTGCTCAGGCTGACAGGCCAGGTGTTTGGCATTTGGACCCTTATGTCTTGCAGATTTGCCACAGGTGCTTTCATTTGCAAATGTGTTACTAACCTTTTTCATGGGGCTGGAGGTTTAGGACTGGAGTTTATGGAAGTCTGCACCCTCGTCTCCCTACTGCTGAAACTGGGAAGGGACAGATGTGTGGGCTCCACCATTTCAGTGGTAATAGCTAGGATATTTGGAATGCGAATGGCAGAGGTGACTGGTGTTTCTGCACCCTGGGAGCTGGTGAGTTAAATGAGACTGTTGTTCTCTTCAGACAAAGCTTCAGACTAAGTGCTTAGCAGAGAGTTTAGATCAGAGACATTGATAGGACTGGAATGTCAGCACAAACCAAGGATATACTTTGTGGGCTGCCTCCTGACCAGTCTTTCTGCAGGATTTCTGTTCTGAGGTAACGTGATTTTTCTTTTTTATTTTCCCCAAGCTCTCTGAACAGAGTATCACTCCAGTGGAGGTGTGTCTCGGTGGCTGTTGGCACGCAGCCATTTGACACGTTATCTAGGATAGCAAATGAAGAATTATCTAACTTCCTGACAGGATTTCGGGGTGGTATGATGGCTGACTGGGAGGGGTGCCTGCATTCTGAAAGAGATCTCTTCCCCGTCCTGGTTTAAATTTGTATTTCTAGTGAGCTCTCTGTCCCTGTCGTGTCTCTGTATAGTGGAGAAGCAGCTGGGAGAAGCTTCTGTTGTTGGCTGCTGCTGGCCAATTCTCACCAGTAGCTTGTTTATCTGAAAGCATGTGATGGTCCCACACACAGAAAATGGTGCGATGCCTTTCTTGGGATTGGAAGAGCTCGTAGCACAGCTCTAAATAGTGGATTTGCTGCCACATAGTTTTGAGACTCACTGGTGTCGCATCTCCTGGAAGCAGGATTTCTGAAGTTGATCAAAGGGGCCTGAGTTATAATCTGGGCTCTGAGGTGAAGCTGTTTGTTCAGTTTTCTTGGTCAATAATTAATAACGTTAACTGTTCAGAGCATGAGGCAGGGTAATGTTCTCTGGGCTATTGTTGGAGGCAAACAATCTGGGAAAATCTGGAAAAATCCTATTAGAAGTAGCCTGGAGAATCAAAATCTCTCTGGAGGATTAATATAAAGCTGTTTGGATCTGGCTCTACGGACAAGTTGTGCTTGTCAGCACCTTTAGGTGCAACGAATGCTCACCACGCTGAGCCTGAAACAAAATAGCTCCGCCTCGGTTCTCTTGTAAATATTAACAAATGGCAGCAGATCGAGGGTAATTTTCTCCATTCTGCTGATTTATGAGCTTTCTCTTCCGTGTCCTTCCCTGTTCTGCACTTCAGAGCAGAAAGCGTATGGCTAACTCTGTTCCTTCCTTCCCTGAAATATATTCTGGGATGATGATGCTGTTTTGAGACAAAAGCAGAAGGCTTGGTTCCCATCCTCGAGCTGAACTCCATGATCCCAGGGTTATCCCATCTGGTCAGAAAAGTAATTGCTTCTTGTGGGATGGGTGCATGGTGTTAATAACTTATTAAAAGCCCGGTTTTGATGACAAAAAGTTAGCGCACTCATTTTCTAGCTGGCCTTAATTTCTGATTCAGTTGAAGGCAGGCTGGATTTGAATATCCTGGCTATCTGGCCTAAAGAGGGGGAGAAAATATAGAAAAATATTCTGCAGAGTTTGCTAGAAAAAGAAGATTTTTGGTTTTGTTTTTCACTTAAAAATAGCACAGCAGTTTCACAGAGACTCTCCTTTGTGCCCTGTGCTCCTGTCTCTTCTGGGAACTGGGACCTTCCTGGAAGAGGCTGTCTGTGGGGAAGGAGCAGGCTTGTCATTGCTGTCCCCTACAGTGGTGTGTCACAGGACGATGGCAGCAAAAGGCATCCAGGCCGCAGTTCCGAGGGAGTACCGTGGCATTGTTATGGATCAGAGTATTTTAGTTTTGGGAAACCTTCTTTTGGTTCTGGGATTCAATGCTTTTCTGAAGGAAAGAGGTGATACTCTGCCTATCCTTTCAGACCTGCCTTAAGGTGTGTGTTTCTGGAGTGTTTTACGCAGGCTCTGGAGAGGTCTGTGCATGGTTGTGCTCTTCTTGACTCTTGAGTTCCTCTTTTTCTGAGCATTGTAGCAGAGAAATTTGGCTTTACATGTGGCTAGAAGTTGGAGCAGAGGCGGCTCGATTTCACTGCGCAAACCACTTCTGCAAAGTGTGGTTTTTTTCCCTTGCTCACATCACATAGCGTTCGGAGGAAACACAGGCTTCTGAATGAAGACTGTTGAGGAACTACCCCAAATTTCTGTTAAGCGTTTCTGTATCCTCCTGCTAATTCTTACAGGGCAAAGGTGCTGCTTCCATCTCCTTGGGGGTTGAGGCAGACTAGTGTGACATAATCTTAGCCTTGAACTTCAGCAGAGGCTGGATTGCAAGAACACGGCAGATAGTTCCTAACAGTCTGAGGGAGATCTCCAGAGATGGAGGTTGCTGCTGGAAACCTGGGGCTGTGTGGGACGAGCAGGGCTTTCGACAGCTCTCTGGCGATGTGTTCCTTCCTCGTTCTCCTGCCCGGTCTGAAATACTGGTCTCACCTTGGTGGTCAACATGCAAACCTATAGCTATGAGGTGCATCAGCATTCCCATTTTACACAACAATTGGCTTTCTTCCTTTTGGGATAAGAAAACTGAGGCTTAACATATGATTGACATATGAATTTTCCACTGCCATGGAGGCTGGAAATTGGTGTAACAGTTGTCAGGAGAGTGGCCATCACCATTTACTTCAGCTATGTAGTCCCTGCTCCGTGACTTCAAAGCTTTGCTGAACCTCAGAGCGAGTTTCTCCTAGTTTTTGTGGGAAATCTGCTGCCTCTCACCATGAATTGGCAGTCTGCAGGGCTGCCTTCGCGGGGAAGGGGTGATGCTAGTGTGTGCAAGACCTGCTACAGAAGTAGGAAAGCCAAGCGGAGAGCTGGGAGTGTACCTTCTTGCACGTTACAAGACTGAAACTGCAGTTTCAACAGTGAATGTTTTTTTTTTCAATGGTGAATCTGGTACCAAACCTACCTGAACAGCATTGTGGCTGGCTGTCGGCTGCAGGTGCCAGAGCTGTAACTAGTTACAGCTGATGATTTGCTTTTGCTGTCGGTGATTGACGTGGGGAGGTAATGTCAGTCTTGGAGGACCAGTAGCTGTCGTTTTGCTAAGCAGGCAGAGGTAGTTGCAGACAAAATTTGTGTTGAATGTATGTTGCAGGGTGTCTTTGGTAGCTAATGGGATCAGCGAAGGCCTTTGATAACAAGGGTCCTTTTCCCTGCTGGTATGGTACATTTATTATTGGCGCCATTAATACAGGGTGCCTGCATTTCTGCTGCTTTTGGATGTAATTTCTGGCTTTCACTGTTGTGTTGGTTTTTGTTTTTTTTTTAAAAGAGTATTTGTATGATATGGAATGGTGAGTTTCTTCTGTAGCATTAGGTCCATCCAAAGCGAGCCCAGCCTGTGCAACATGTTTTGACATGCGATATCAAGGGAGTGGAGAGTTTTGGAGGGATTCTGACTTTCTAAGGCAGACCAAGGGAATGGAGAGTTTCTTTCCAGAGCCCTGCTCAGGCTCCTGTTTTGACAGCCTCTTGTGAGTCTGAGTATATAGCTGTAAGTGTGATGGAAAGGGGCTGGGCATGGCAATAAATGTCTTCGTAGACCCCTCCCTCCCCAGAGAAACCTTTTTTCTTTTTTTCTAATTAGCAGTTTGTTTTTTTTCATTCAGAATCTACTAAATTTTTTAAAAAGCTATGGCTGTGTTGAAGATCTAAATTGTCCCCATCTTCAGCTTATTCGTGAAATTTAGCTTCTTACAAAACAATCTATTGGATGCGTTATTCATACAGTATGATGCCGTTCTCTATACACTTCTGAAGTTGTTCAAAGGACCTTGACGTTCAGAATTAATTGCGTTT